ACACACACACACACACACACACACACAACAGAGAGGCAATAAAAAAGCAGGGGGTCGAGGATGTAGAAGTGTAGCAGTTGGGAGACGTGCTGGGGAAAGGAAAAAACACATCTGTAGCTTGAACAATGTTGTTTTCATCATTTATTCATAGGGAACGTGATTGAATCTGGATTAAAGTTGTGTGATTCTGAGGCAGCGGTTTGCAGAGGATACAAACACACCCACAAAGAGTAGAAACACATCCAGACAGACAGCTGAGGGTCAGCTGTATATATGTAAACTACACAACGGCACATACTCTCCCCGGCAGTCTCACTACCTACACATATTCCAGATGTGGCTGCATATGGAGTCATAATAAAGTCTTTAGATGGAAAATTGGATTAATTGAAGCATACAAGACATGCTTGGATGGAGAAGGCAGGCAATTAAGTCCCCCTGCATGTTTGTATGTGTACGTGAGGCATTTGAATAAGCATCCGTGCAGCCGTGTCCTCATGTGTGATGATATATGGCGGGTCCTTACAACACTCAGGAGACATAAATTACAGGAATTCCAGATTAATTTCAAACCTATCAGAGATGTGTGATTGTGGATAGATTACTAAATCATTACACATACAGCTGCTCTTATCGTTACTCACAGACGACTTGTACCCAGATGTGTGAAACGCTGTAACCTCATAAAAATTTTAAAAATGTTTTTAAAGTCAGTATGGCCCAAAAAAGTAAAATACAGCAAATGCAAGAAGTACAGAATCGTTAGTAGACTTTGTACTTTGTTTAGTGCATGACCATTCTTATGCATTTGTTAACGGTGCATAGCTGGATTTAAAATGGACAATCAAACTCTTATTTCCGAGGCTGTTGGGGAGCATTTGAGTTAATAACTCTATTGACTTGAAGCAGGCCGTTGAGGGAAAAAAATTTAGCAAACTCCAAGTGGAGAGACTAAGAGACACACATGACTAAGCTTGGAGTGTTGAGTAATCCCATAGCCAGAAGAACTCATCAACTCAATCTCGCTTTTCTAACTCTTTATCCTCTCCCTCCCTCTCTACAGTAAGTTTAATTTGAAGAAGAAGTCCCTTTCCAAACCGTCCAATATATATTTTTCTAATTTCTTCCTTGAGAAATCTCTTAATGGTTTCTTCGCTGGACCCTGATGAAAACAATGACTTTTAACCCCCCCCCACCCACCTCCGCTGCATCCATCTTTCCCCCTCCCTCCATCACAGTCGCCTTATTTCACTTTTCTAAATGATTTCTTACTCCTTCAATCTCCTTTGCAGCCATTCAGGCCCTGGCCGGGGCTTGTGGCCAGGCTACGCATTGTGACAGGTAAAATGAAAGCCCAAAGAAATCTCATCTCCTTATGAACGCTCGAGGCATTCAGCCAGTCAAAAATAATATTTTTTCCACCCTTCTTTCTGCGGCGCCGACAGATGGAGGAAGAAAAAAAAAGCGAGCTGTTATTTGAAGACCATTTGAGGTTTTACTTTATCTCCAGTTAATCAATGCTGTTCTTTTTGTGTGGTGGTGGTGAGGGTGGGGAGCTGGAGCAGTACATTTTGTATACATTTACAGATTATATGCAGTATATAAATAGTTTGTCATAATTACATGAGAAAATATTGTCATAAAAATCATTTTTTCCATGCTGTGATAATGAGAAGTGTCTAAAAATCAAAAGCAATCTACAAATATTATCTTCCACCAGCTCTTAACTTTTCCTCTTTTATCCAAACAATGTCAATGAGGAACTCGGTGAGTATTACCAGACAAACAGCTCTGTCAGGCACCGCTGATTGAAACCTCAAGGTCGCGGGCAGAGAAACACAGAGTCAGAGAGAGACAGGAGAAGCAGCAGCAGTGGAGCAGCATGGACTCTCCAGGGTCTGGCTGTGTAGCTCACTCAGTGTTCTGTTTTGTGTGTATGTGTGCGTTTATGCTTGTGTGTGTGAGAGAGAGAATGACTGTGGATGAGAGGTTTTTAAGGCTCCTGACCTGTTGGTGGGTTGCAAAGTCACCCTGCTCTCTGCCTTTTGCCTTTCCACATTCCTCTGCTGGTAGCCTTTCTTTTCCTAGTGTGTCACTTTTCAATCTGGGACATGGGGTTTCTGTCTCGATAGCACTTCATCTATTTTTTTTTTTTACTTCTCCCTCAACCAAAATCTATTCTTCACTGCATGGCTGCAGTGTTCCACTCCCCTGCCGCCATCTTTGCAGAGTCACTTTACACCTCGTCTGTAAACTTTGGATTCACACATTTGCCGTCTCTGTACTCATCTATATATCTGCATGTAGCCTTTACTTTTGTCTCCCCGGTAAGCTAGTAAGTCTTGTGATGATCTGAAGATCTTTTTTCTCAGTCAACTCATACACCTCCAACAGTTCTCCCTCTTTTCATCCCTCCACCCAACCCTAACCTTTGCTGCTCTGTTCTCTCCTGCTTTATCCCACATGCTGCAAACCCTACCCAATTTATTCTTGTCTCTCACACTTTCCCTTTTCCCACATTTCAGTCAATACTTTTCCCACCTTCTGCCCTGTCATCTTTTTTCCCCACTCCCTTCATCTCCCTATCCTTCTACCCATCTCCATTCCAGCTGTTCATGTGTCTTCTGCACCGCCTCCCTCCGTTCATCCCTCTGTCCCCCTCCTCACCTTGTAATTCTCCACTTTTGCTGTAGAGTTCTCGCCTCTGCTCTCTCAAGTAGGCACTCATGCTGATAGCATGGGAAGACGATTCAAACCTACAAAACACACCAAAGGTTTAACAATTGGACACACAATACAACAAAACAATAAATAATGCAACAGCAAGCTGCAGGGAAAGAGTTACAAAGACCAGCGACCTTGGGTATGAGATGTTAAACAGAATAATGTAACATTAAAGATACTTTTAGTCTCTTAAGATAAAGCCTCTTATACAGAGATACTATATGCCCTTATTTTTGGACAAACATAAACCGTAGAGCAAAAGGTCTGATCCTTACTTGAAAAGAGACTGCTTGGCACGCTGTGGCTTTTTCTTCGAAAAAAAGGCAGCAAACTCACTGCCTGTGCTGGCATAGGAGAGCTGAGCCGATGGCTCTGTAGCACTCCGGCTGTTCTTCACATCAAGATATTCCATCAGCAGAACCTAAACAACACAAATGTGAAAAGTTAAAAAGCACAAGAATGGAGGTAAGGACCATCTTTGTCATATCTTAATGGAATAATGGCTTTTATGGTCTCAATAATGGCTTATTGGTGACACAGGTTGAGGTTTTGACACAAGCTGTGTCTACAGTCAACAATTTCTAGGGTTTGTTGTTTTCTGGCTACAGTTTGAGGGGATAATAATAATGAATCCTGGTTCAGCCGGGGTCTTTCTTTGTGGAGTTTGCATGTTTTCCCTGTGTTGCCCTTCCACAGTCCAAAGACATGTACTGGAGACTCTCAAGTGTACATGCAAACATGACGAATCATATCTGCATCAAACTAAACTGGTCAACAAAACATTTCATGTCTAGAATATCACAGAGTCACTAATAAAGGTTCCTCAGACACATGATGTGATATTTTAAAGCACAGTTAAAAAACAGTGTGAAGTTACTAAATTCTCATCTGAACCCTCCTAATTTAGTTGTTACACCAAAGATAATGTCACATGGAGTTAATTAATGAATTAAAAGCTTCCACTCAGCATCATATCCTCTAAGCTCGTCCTGTCTGCTCTGCTACCTGTAAGATTATTCACAAGTACCTTTTTTATCCATACGACCAAAATAGATTGTTTAACTGTAAAAGTTTAACAACAGCTCACTGAAGCGCTTTTTAAAAAAAATCTAACTCTCTATGCAAAGTTGTATTTCTCTTTTGCATCAAGTTAAATTTCTCCACAGCCACTGTTCCAACTGTGGTCACACTACATTATTTTTCTTTCTTGGAATTTTGACTGAAATGTACCTCTATATTTCACAACATTATCTAAAGGAATTCTTATTTACAAATGCCTTGTTCAGCAGAGATGCATGTCTACAATATCCGCCTGAGATATTCCGAGCAGCAGGTCTCCTATTTATCATGGCTTATAGTATTACAGTTTATTACAATTCATGGCAACATTATCAAGAAAAGAAAAGAAAAAACATTCTAGACTCTGGAGATAGAAAAAGCCCACTGACATGTCTGGGTGCATTTGATGACCACCACTGAAATTCGTGTCCTCCATTTTCCTGAACTGTCTGCATGATCCATGATGAAATCCATCAACGTCTTATCATGCTTCATAAAAATCTTATCAACTTCTAACAATAGCCGAGGACAAGCACATTGAAACTGTGGCCAGATAGAGAAAGTTAACTTCCTCTACTCTATCATTATATCTGCACATTCCCTCTGTTGCTTTGACTGGCTCTCATTTTTCAAACTCCCTTAGTGCCTCATCTCTCATTTCTCACATTTCTATTTTCTCTCTCTCGCTCCGTCTAACTCTGTTCATCGTTTCCTTTTTCTCTCCCGCCCGTCTTCATTCCTCTCTCTGTGTGAATACATATGTTCTAAAATAGCCTCCCATATCTAATAGCTTCATAATTTAGTGGAGCCATTTAGCCTGTGTGTGTCTAATTCTGAGGCACAGAGTGGGTCAGCCCAGACTGGGACAGGAGTAATGGCAGAGCAGATGGAGATCCATCCTGACCATAATGATGTAATTAACGCTGCGGAGAGCACCCCCCGTCATGCATGGGAAAGCCTTCACATGTTAGAGCTGATATGAATTAGAGTGCACACACATATTTGCAAGAGCAGATATACGAATAACAATATGTAAAAGAAAGTAACTTCTTGATAAATGCATGTTTCAAAAAAACACATTGATACACTGAGGTTTTAATGATTTCAAAAAAGAGCTTGATGTTTTTTTTGTAATAAATAACTAGGAGCCCAGTCTCCCCAGTTCCTCATGTTTTATCTATGATTGAATCTTCTTCTGAAATAAAGGGTCAATAAACCTGAGGCTATGTTGATACCAAAAGGTGCATACAAGAAATAAAAATCCACTAGTTAAATAAAACAATCTGGATAACAGAATGGATTAAATCCGACTTTATTGGGAAAAAAACACTATAATCTAATCGCATCTCTAAGGGAATCTTTAAACAATATAATCATATGATTACAGACCATCTGGAATGAAAAAAATGCCAAGTATCAGTCAGAGAATATCTGTTCACCTCAAGAGCTGATGGAGGACTGGCTCTTCCAAACAAGGAATTATGTAACATGGCATTTGACATTGTGCAATTATAATCCTAACCCTGGGTGGGTGAGCACGGAGCCTTGAGGTCCACCCAACCCACTTTAACAACGTTCCCTATGGACACGGGCGAGAGAACACAGAATTTGGGTGAGTGCAGTATAAACCAAGCTACTCTTCAATATGGGATGAACTTTTATAATATATGTATTTTTAAATAATAATTTCAATGAGATAAATGGCTGGCAAAAGGAGTGCATATAAATGTGACCTCTATAGAGATAATTTATTTGTCTTTGGGCTAAAGAAGGAAGCGGAGTAGACTTTTTATACTATATTATATTCTGCATCAGTATTTCATTAAAAAAATCTCAAATTCTCACACTTGAGTTTGCTCTATAGTTTAATATGTCAAGGGGATCTTGATAATGAGATAAGGGAGGATTCATGGCAGACTGTTAATATTTAGGCTAGACTACAGGGGATGCAAGAAGTTCATCCATTATAAAATTCTACATGGATATTATTTTACAACCATGAATGTGATTAAAATGTGCTTAACCCAAGATAATAAATGTTGGAAAGTATGTAGGTGCATTTGAGTGTTTTTTGGTATTCAACAGGGCCTCAAACAGTCTCTAGCAGAATCCCTTTAGCTTTGTGTGTTATGGAATACATTTTCCATTCCACCAGGGCTTACTAAGGCACAACTATCAGTAAGAGGTTTTATCTTAACATCCAGGCTCGTGTACAGAGTGGATTAAACTTATGATGGAGAAAGATTCTGCTGAATGTGATTTACGGGATAAATGTCCAAAGAAAAACAAATGTAGTATAATTTTGTGACATATAAAAGTGCAAAATCGTCAAACTGTATGAGCAGGAATATTGGGGTGACAGACTTTGATTTTTTTTAAATGTTCAAACAGTAGTTAATGTACATCTATGTCATATTTGTACTTTTTTCATTTTTGTTTAATGTAAAATGTCGAAACTATAGAAAAGAACAAATGAAAAAAAAAACATTCTCATGTTACATGTTATGTGTGGTGTCCGAGCGTTTGGTCTGAAATGTTCATGTAAAACCAAACAGGCACATACAATCATGCTCCACACACTTAATTACTCTCTAACCCAGTTCCCCTCATCACAGGGAGTCCTGGAGGCCATATCCCGCACGTCAACTCCAACCGGCAACACCCAGGCTTCCACTTGCCACTGGCCTCATGCTGCAGCTAATCCTATCAGTGTATTAATTACTAATGATGAGCTGATGGAGCGAAACCCCCACTTGCTTGCAAGCTAACGCCCAAATGGACTTAATGAAATTCCAGCGCCAGGCTGATGAAGGGGCTCCGACCCTACTTAAATTGCATTAGCCCAGAGACAGAGTGAACTTTGGAGGCAATTAACTGGACTGCTAGGACAGGGAGAAGGATGGAGGGATGGCAGGCAGAAAGTGGCACAGAGGGATGGGGGGAGAAAAAGAAAGAAGGAGAGATAAAGGTGGGAAAGCATCGTGGAGAATAGAAAGAGCAAAGGATTATAGGTGGCAAGTGAACACTGAGCAGAATGCTAAAGAGAAAAACAGGCACAGAAGGATAGAAGGATGGGAAAAGTGAGGAGGACACAGAGAAAACACAAGAGACCCAGATAAATAACCTGTAGCTGCTGATTTAACACCTTTGAGTTAAGTCAAACAAGATGGTATCCACACCTCGTATCCACAAATTTGGCAATTGCACAAACCTTTACTAGACAAGCCTCAACAATCTGCTTCAAACCAGCAGCAAACACATCGCAGAGCAAATCACTCGCGTATATAAAGTTTTATAAATGTCACCTCAAAGTTTCCTAGTTATTTTCTTTGTCCATTCCAAATCTAATTGGTAAAACAAAAAACTTTGTTGCAAAGCCAAAGTAAACACGTGTGTTTCTGGATGGGACACTGACTAAATATGTCTCAATCTCATTGCAGTGAGCAAACTAATCACCAAGAAGAATTTCAGAGGCTTAACACACATTATTATTTGTGAAGAAAATGTGTTATTTTCTTTTTATAAAGGACAAAGTATTGCAGGTAAAAATACATCAGGTCAGCCAACATCATCTCCAGCTGTCAACTACTCTATGCAAGCACTGCCACGGTCCTAATATAAGAAAACTACAAGGTAAACACAATAAAAGATCACCCACACTACACTCAGCAGCATCTATTCCACACAAATAAGGCAAACAATGCTAGTTGCCTAGCACTGAATGTTCCTAATATAGCAGGGCAGTGTGTGTGTGAAGCTACAGTTCTGATTTAATTCAGTGTTTGAGGATAAAACCTACATTAATATATCACAGTGCTGGTAAACTACTGTACTAACTGTTGCACAAGTAAAAAAACTCACATCTTTTGTCTATATTCTGATTTCCACCAGTGACAAAAATTACAATAATAAGTAACAATGTTCTGTAACTGCACTGCAACGTCACGCTGGTTCTAAAATGAATAAACATAATAAATAGATAAATAAGATAGAGGCAGGCTATGTGACAAGTCAAATAGACAATTCAGTCTAGAATAATCTAGTGATTGCTGATTGACGGCTTTGCTGACTGGTCAAACTGTGTCTCTCTCCCAGTCTCTTTTATGTGTGATGCATTTGAAACAGAATCAACATGAGTTAGAAACATGGCGGTTGAGGAACCTGCCACACTACTGACATCGGCACAGCTGTTTGATCTTTCTCAAAGGAGAGTTATCTGTAGAATTTGTCAGGCAATGGTCGACACTTTCTGAGGTGATACGACAAATGTAGTAAACCACCATGAAAGAAACCATGTGAAGGAGCTTCACTCGGGTCTGTACAGCCTCGCTCTTCTGAATCTCACAAGGTCCAGGCACAGAT